TCACCTGCACCATCCAAAATGCTAGCCGAGACGAATGTCCCCGTGTATGCCGATTTTAGGTGGCTGCCATCCAAAACCACGATGGGTCTACAGTGATCGAACCCCTTTATAAAAGCATACAACGATATATAAAAATACATGAACTCATTTTTCGATGATTTTTCCATTCTAATATGTGAACCAGGATATGTCATATCCAGTGTATATATAACTACCCTGGTAATTTATTGTATGAATCAGCTGGTTCACCTCTCAAAAAATTCACTGCCTTTTCTTTAGCGCGCCACGCCAACATGTAACTAACATCTACACCAAAGTCTGATTTCACATCATCAATTATATCCTTTGGCTTGTATTTCCTCTTATGATTAGTAAACTTGGACCTAATCATACCCCCAATCAATCTACTGGTTGCTTGACATTGCTCATATACCTTATCTTTCAACGGACATGTATGCTTATTATTGAACTCCCTCACTTTGAACATTTGTGATTTGTTAATACTAGAAGCCTTAAATCTCTATTCACAATCCTCATAAATACATAACAATGTATAGTTGCAAATACATTTATGTTATACATATGATTATATATGGATAAAATATAAACAGATCCTACAACTGATTCGGCTACATACACACATCATTTTCATTTGCCAACAAAGTTTTGAATATATAAACATACAACGAAATACAATGTACGTTTATTGAATATACTATAGATTTTTTTTGAAAACATTGCATTAAAAAATATATAAATATACATTAATATAAATAGTTAAGTTCTCATATAACTGTTTCAGAACATTCAATTACAAAAATACTGTTACAGAAACATATCATGAAGGAAAGCATATATTATGAATACAACATTATACATGCTGTATTTTATAAAATTCTACCATGAATACATTATACAACTAGTAAGAATACATATTCATGCAGTTGAATACAACATATTGGTGAAGAGGTTGTAAGTAAGTACACTCAAACCTGATAGCATTAGACCTATCAACTCGAAATTGAAACCTTTCAGCAATTGCATATAGCTCCATCACCGCCTTCAATATGGCCTTATCCTTATATACTTGTCCATCCATGACCTCTCTTTGATTAGTTTTTGAAATAATCAAATCCCTTTCCGGTTCGAAAACCCCAATTGGTTCACCTGAGTTTAAAAACTCAAGTGCAAGTGTATCAATTGTATCAAATTTACTCACCCCATCTGTTTCGTCTAGTTACATTAGGTCGCCTTGAATTAAACTTCCTCTACCTACAATTTCTTTATCCATTGTAGTTATACACAATGGATACATCCCGAATTCTCTGTTCTCTTTTTTCAACTCTACATACACCATGTAACCCATGTCGTTGTGTATTTCCATAGGCATGCAATTTTCTTCCACTTTGTATTCAATTTTAATTGACTTTGACCTCAAATCTATGGCAAGTTGCTTCGAAATAGAAGCAACCAAATCATTGTACGACGCATACTCCTTTATCAGAATCCCATCAATCGAATAATCGACATAGTTATTCTCAAAGTTCCACTTGCCAGAATGACGAAGTAGCACAGTTAAACTTGCCATCAAGAAAATCGAATTTCAAACTATTTCAGTAGATACTTGTATCAATTCCTAGCAGAACCTCGAACAATATTAGCGGGAAAAAAATCCTCTAACGATACCAGGAAAAAAAGGATGGACTGAATCTCTGAAGATTGCTCTGTTTTTTGGTGTTTGTCGTCTGATAAATCTTTTCATTAACTGGATTAATAATTAATTTAGCGTGTTATAATTATATTTTGTGGAGTTATATTAGGAGTGTATCACGTTAATTGATTCACTTTCCGCTTTTAAACAACTGGAGAGACCTATTTTTACGCAGATTTTCGTTACTGTATTCATGAATACAGTTCGCGAATACATATGAATACATCAGATGATAGCTGGACTCCCCTGTTTTTCGCCGACTTTTGCTACTGTATTCATGAATACAATAGCTTGAATACATCGAATATATTACCATAACAACTGAAAATATAGCTATAGGAAGTAATTAAGTAAATGGTAGCTATAGGAAGTTAATAACCACTAAACAATAATGATTTCTGAAAATTTCTCTTTACAATTAACCACAATTTAAAGTTTTAGAGGGTGAAGTGCACAAATATCCATTTAAGACCTCTATTTAAAGAATAACCAAAATTTACAACAAAAAATTAAGTTTAACCGTCTCATAATTAATTTCATCAATCTGAAGTTGAAATCATGGGTCAAAAGTTTCGAATGCAGTCCAACTTCAGACCTTCAGGTTTAAGATGACAAAAGTTTTAGCTACACACGTTGTCCTGATGGTGTATAGTGACCTTCAGGTCTAAATTTAGTCTGCTTCTGATGGTTTAACGTGAATTTCTGTTATTTTTCATATTAGTCACCTAACTTTCGAATCATGAATTATCCAATAAGCAATTCAAAGTTATTACGTTACTATAGTCAGTTAACTCTCGAAACATGAATCATGAAATAAGCCATTAGTTACTAAACTTTAAAAAAAAAAAAAAAAAAAAAAAAAAAAAAAAAAAAAAAAAAAGGTACATCTACAAGTTTATTTTCTGCTCCTCGCTAAAGTAGAGTGCACCAAAGACTTGCATATTATACCGAATCTTCATCTATATAGGGGCATTGAAGAACAGTTTCCATCGTACAACGTTGAGAGCCCCCGTCTTTGCGCGACCTGATGTATTCTAGAAGATTCGGTATTTCATTAGCATGACGTGCATATGTTTCATGCAAAAAGAAAAATCAGAGAAAGTAGTCCACTTGCATACACTGAAAGGCTCAACGTCAAGATGACATATTTCACTTCTATCTTTATGTTTTTGGCCAAAAAATTGCTTCGGTTAAACTAGAGAACGTCATGTGCACTCGCGTGCAGTTTGACGCAAGAACCTACTAAAAGGTTGAAAAGCAAAAGGATAAAAGGCAAAAAAGGGAGGGAGAGAGCGAGGGGGCAGCATCACAAGTTACATCTTCTGAAGCATCTGGCCCCACCAATTTATCATCTGCAAATAAACAACATAATGACAATTCATTTTCATAGCATTGATGGAAACAGACAAAAGAAATGCGAGGGATTGAGTACTTTTTAAGATTGAATTTCTAGAGAAACAAAAGTAGTGTTTTTGGCAATGGGAATGAAAACCTCTTAATGAATTTATTACAACACCAAAACAAACCATAGTGATACAAGTAAAGACATGCGTATTGAATACACTAAGATCAAGAATTATCAATTCTTTATTTCTCTCCTAATCTACTCAAAACACAACCTAATGCTCTTCTGTCGTCAAGAAGAATTGCCAACATCATAAATACAATGTTACCTTGATTCTGTAAGTCAACTAATCACCACAGACATAACTCTTGATTCTGTAAGTCAACTAATCACCAGAGACATAACTCTTTCCCTCATAGTACCTCCTCTCACTAGCTGCTTTTTTATCATTTCGTTTCTGCAAATATACATCATTATTAGATACATCACATACATGTTTCAATTCAACCAAGCAAACAGGCCTAGATTAATATAGAAACTGGAAATTGACGCAGTTCAACAAGCATCCGAACAAATGGAGGAAATTGCATTATGGTTGAAGAAAAATATGATTCAATATTCAGCACCAAACTTGACACTCGCAGGATTTTAAACCTCATCAAGCACTAAACAGCTAGTTAGGACCACTAAGATCGAACAAGAAATTCATCCATTTTCTTCCTGAAGATATCTATATATGCACGGCTGGTGGTTTGGTTGATTTACTATATATCCGAGTCACACGAGGAAATAAGCGCATCTGGTGAAGTGGTATCATAGTACCCTCCCACGGACCAGGGTTCGATTCCTCGGATGCGCATTGAGCCGAGGTCTATTGGAAACAGCCTCTTTACCTTCACTAGGTAGAAGTAAGGTTTGCGTACACACTACCCCCCAGACCCGAACTGGGTTTGTTGTTGTCGAGTCACATGAGGAAAATTTTGATAACATGGACGGCAAATGAAGTGGGAGACTATTCTTCAGATGTGGAGTAAAAAAATAGGGGAATACTGGGAAAGCAATAGTACTTTGAAGCATGACGCTAGAACTATACGAGGAGATGGCAAAACCAAGAAGCAACCTGAGGAACGGAGGATGCAAGTGGTGTAAGAGATCTGCCAACTCCTCAGAACCTTAAATAAGAATGAAGGGTCAGCTCAATGTTGGTTTAGAACGGCGGAAATGAGTCTTGGGGTAAATATGAGGAGAGAACAAAGAGATGATGCTGAAACAGCCAGGAGACAGCAAGAAGAACGCATACGTAGTGACAAGGAGAGTTCATATTGTAACAAAAAGCACAAAACCAGAAAGAGGACTAAGAAGGAATTTTAAGTAGGATGGCAAAACGTCCAGCTGAATCAAACTGATTGCTGTGGTATCATAAAAATGAGAGAATTTCAGGATGGATCTCGAGGGATTGATATTATTTTATAGTTAAGTTTACGGTCTTACTCTACAGTCTACATTATAGCATGGGCTGAACCTATGTTTTGTTTCATTATTTACTTATTAGAAAAATTCTGCTAACAGCTCAGAAGAACAAACAGACGGTTTTCAGAAACCCTCGTTCAAATAAATATAAAAGAAACTAAAAAGTACATATTGGAGGAGAAGTAACCTGGTATGCCTCATGATTTGACACAATTCTCCTTATTATTGTGCTCGTTGTAATATCTAAAGGACTATCCAATATTTTAAAAATGCCCATACTAATTGGTACAGCATATGGGTTACCCTTCTCCTGCAAATTAAAGCATCATGATCAACAAACAAAAGGACCTTTTAACCTAAGATTCTCGTAAAAGACTATAACCATAGAGTACCTTCTGAAAATCATTATCCTCGGCTACTGTTCCATGAACAACTAAAGAGATATTGAAGGTAGTTATCTGCATCAGTGTCCAATTGTAGAAAAAGTCACTACACGATAAATGAGGAGTAACATGATTATACTCTATGAGATCAACTCAAGAGTGAGAGGGAAGCGTTAGCTTTCAAATTACAGTTTATAATAAAGCATCTAATTTCTTTATCTCCAAAAGGAACTCTCTGCTCAATAAAGATCTTATGGAAGCAAAGCAAATTCCAGTCAATACCAATAACTCCTGAAATTCCCTCTAATCAAACATGACTTATGAAAGAATACATATAACAAGCAACAGCCAACAAACGTAATAAATTTCTTTTGTGGGGAAGAGATAAAGTGAGATTAACTTAGTCTCTTTTTATTTTCTGATAGGCGGAGTAAGTTTACCTATTATTAGGAAAATTACAATAAGGAGTATAATTTAGCTCTTTTGTAACAAATGAAGTAGCAAACAAAGTTACTTTTATGAGGAAAACGACTAAATACAAATTTTTCCTACCAAAGGGAGAACTGAGCCCCAAAACTATTAGAATTCTGGGCCTCCCTTACCATTTAAGCCATATCGGTAAATTTTTTTTTAATAACCGTGGTGTCCGGGCCAGTTTGCGCGCACCTTGACTAATTCCACGAGGTACCTGCCACCTCCCACCAGCACCAGGTACCAGGTAACTCTATCCACCAAGGCTTGAATTGATAGGAAGAAATCACCTAGTGTTTTTTGCCTCCGCTGGAATTTGAACCTGAGACCTCATAGTTCTCACCCACTTTATTGACCACTAGGCACACCCTTGGGTGCCCCCATATCAGTAATATACACTGTCCATACGAGCATATTTCTGAAAGTCAGAATTAAAAAGCTTAAGGCCGACATGTTGGGATCTTTGAGCTGTTATATTTAGTAAAGATACAATCTGAGTTTAATCAGATATGTTTCAGGAAACAGTAACTAGGAAGCTACAAGACAAAAGCCACCATTAAGTAGAAAACAGAGATAATTACATCAAAACACATATCGGGTGTCGGTGTCCTTACTTCAGCTTTTAGCACATTCCTTAGTTTGTTACTTGTTTTAGCATATTCTGTATATAATGTGTTAAAACTTTCCACCCATTAGTCTATCAAACTCCCCATCCCTCTCCCCCCCTGCTTTTCTTCTCCACCACAGAACCAATTGGGAAACACAAACTGTGAGTCCTATTGATGGTTAATTGACAAACTCGAATTAATTTTTTGTTGTCTTTTGGAGCTCCAGGTTGAGCAGGACTAAAACAGAATACTTAGAGTGCAAGTTCAACGACGTGACAGGGGGAGCGGATGTGGACGTGAGGCTTGACTCACAAGCCATCCCCAAGAGAGGAAGTTTCAAGTATCTTGGGTCAGTTATCCAAGGGAATGGAGAGATTGACGAGGATGTCACACACCATATAGGGGCGGGGTGGATGAAGTGGAGGTTAGCATCCGGCGTCTTGTGCGACAAGAATGTGCCACCAAAACTAAAAGGTAAGTTTTACAAAACGGTGGTTAGACCGACTGTGTTGTATGGAAATGAGTGCTGGCCAGTCAAGAACTCCCATGTCCAGAAGATGAACGTAACTGAAATGAGGATGTTGAGATGGATGTGAGTGCACACTAGGTTGAATAAGGTTAGGAATGAGGATATTCGGGCAACGGTGGGCGTGGCCTACATGGACAAGATGCGGGAAGCGAGGCTTAGATGGTTCGGGGGAGAAGCCTAGATGCCCCAGTTAGGAGGTGTGAACGGTTGACTTTGGCGGGTACGAGAAGAGGAAGAGGGCGGTCTAAGAAGTATTGGGGAGAGGTGATCAGGCATGACATGGCGCGACTTCAGCTTACTGAGGACATTGCGCTTGATAACAGGGTGTGGAGGTCGAGAATTAGAGTAGAAGGGTAGCAGGTAGTCAGGCGTTTTTCAGATCATTACCGAGTCGTATAGGGCTAGTCTGGTTGTATCTTGTCGTTGTTCCTAGATTGCTAGTATTACAGCTATTTCTTGCTATCTTCCGCTTCGGTTTTCTAAGTATCTTGTCGTGGTTACTGCTTATTGCTATTGCTAGTGCTATTGCATTCTTCCATCTATTTTTTTCCAGTTCTTACATTGTTGTTATCATTTTTCTGGCTATTGTTGTTGATATTTGATTGTTTTCTATTCATCCTCTCGAGCCGACGGTCTTTCAAAAACAGAATCTCTACCTCCCCAGGGTAGGGGTAAGTTACTCTCCCCAGACCCCACTTGTGGGATTTCACTGGGTCTGTTGTTGTTTTTGTCTTTTGGAGCTCAAATCATGGTTAGAAACTGATTTTGCAAGATTTGGGTGGTAAAAATCATATTAGAAAGGTAACCCACCATTGTTGAACAAGCTTGAAGAAGTGTGTTTGAATTTCAAATATGATTTTTGTGAGAAATTCGAAGTGGGTGTTATTTAGACCGGTTGAAAATAGTCTAAAGAGGTTGTCTACAAAATTTGAAAGTCATTTGGTGGACATTTGGACTGATTACGAACGAAAATTGCAACTGAAAATCACATAAGGAGTTCGTAACTGTAGCTAACAATTTTAGACACTTTAAACATTGTTACACACTTCTATACAAGGTTGAAACATGTTTATACATTACTATACATTTTTATACAAGGTAGATACATTGCTTATACAGGGGTAAAAATATTGTATAATAATTTATGTTGCAGAAAAAGTATTGGCCATGCGGGTGTAAACTGAAAAATATAGCTACATGGGTGCAATGTGTTGTGTTGGGCCGTATATCTCCCTAGAAAATATCATATCACCATCAGTGATTAAGTTATAATCTGGAAATGATTCCTAATATAGTAGCTATCATCAATCTGATTTCCATGAAAACTAAGAAAGCTATAAGTCATCTTGATTTATAAATAACATTCAGAGAGTCAACGCAGGTGTTGTGGTATTTCATTAATGTCAATTACTGTTTGGCTCCAAAGATGAGATATGTCATAGTAAAAATGTTGTGAATCCTTGCTATCATATAAGATTGTAGCATCCTTTCTCTTGGACCACCATCAATAATGAGATTGTAGGAGAACTGAGAAGTAGACAGTAAAAATAGCAACAATAATGTTAGAAACAATTTTGTCAACAGTGTCCATGTTAGTAGCGATTACCATATCTTTTGACACCTCCCATGGAGCACCAATAATCACTTCATCGGCGTAGCGGCAAGCCAAAACACTTAAGCTCCTTTCATGAAGATTCATAATTGGACGGTGCACACCTCTATTGGCACTGTAAAAGACAATACGGAATGAAATATGAGTTCTTTGACCGAACTTGCAAAATAACTAAGCATATTTCGTTATGACAAAGATAATCGAGCTTGCAGCCAGCAAACATTCTAAGTATTAGAGCACATGCTGCTTTATCCACAACAACCTCAAGTACTGCCTATGGATTAGCACAATTCTTTAGGGACTCATACCTTACAGTTTGATCAGTATGAATGCCAACAAGTAGAAAGTCTCCAAGTCCTCGAGCAAGCCTTAGTATCTAAAGATAACCACAAAAGTGAGAAATGAATCTACACTCTGATGCATGCATTATGTTGAAGACATAATTAAGTAAATAAAAGTGTGTTTACTTTAACAGCTTAAACTTTTAGATAAGATGGTCACACAATTCAAAATGGTATCAGAGCAGGCAAGGATCCAGAATTCGATCTCACCGCTACCCATTATCAAAAAGAATTTCCACGTGTTTGGCTCATCAAAAAGAATCAAGCCCGCACGTGAGGGGTGTGTTGCAGGCATAATTAAGTAAAATAAAAGTGCTTTGTCTCTAACATCTTAAGCTTCACATTAGACATAACACAAAAAAGACTAATAAGCAGGAATAAGAAATACGACAAGGGAAAACAAGATGCAGCTTTTTGTGAAAAGTTTGTTTATGATCATGAAAAAACTTATTCAAAGATGATGCATTGAAGAATACGTATCAGCAATTCTTTGAAGAAAAGTTCAACTTTCAACCAGAAACACTTACAAATCTTCAAAAAACTACAACAGTCCAAACACATTTCTTTTTGCAGAAAACTGTCCAAACACGTTTCTTTTTGCATTAACTTTTTCTCCAGAAGTTCTTTCAAAAAAGATTTTCCAAAAGTTGTCCAAGCGGCTCTGAAGAAAGTTAAGATTGAGATACTCGGCAAAAGGTGGGAATTCCCACATTTTTGCAGCAATGGTCTTTTACATATTAGATGAATCAAAACAGTTGCAAAACTTCTGCTGAGATCTATGGAAAAAATGTCTAAAAGCACAAGCTATTAGGTAAGAACATATTTATTCCTTTGATCTTCAAGAGAATCTCTTCTCTCGCAGCCATTTTCTTTTTCCACAAAAAACATGAAAATTGTGGCATCTATGAACTATGATACCATGTTGAGTGTTGTGGATCATTTCAACCATAAACTAAAGTTATTAAAGGAAACTACATTTGTTTACTTTTTTATATGATTCTTTAAAATACAAGCATCCTTATTTTTGTAGGTTCTAAGCCAGATTACTTACCTCTACATGTCCAGCATGAAAGAGATCAAAAGCACCATCAATATAAACTATGCGAGCACCAGGTCCAGCTCCCTACACAAACCGCTCGACAACATTATAAGCAACAAATGTACTTCATAGCAGCAACATAGAACCAAAAAAAAAAAAAGAACAGACAACAGCAAGATGTGTTGAAAGGACAACAGGTTTTCCTAAAAGATCCATAAACTAAATGTAAGACAGATCATGCACTGATGGTTAAATCATAATTCAAATCGATTCATAAATTTGCCATATTTTCCCTCATTTGACTTAATTTTGCATCTGTTTGTAATGTTTAAAGGCTTAATTTTGCGAATTTGTGCTGTTAGAAGCTAACAATTGGAGTGTGATGAATATGCAAGCTTCGGCATCAAATTAGCACAAAATGAAGCCCAGTGACATAGGCAAAAATGGAAAAGATGCACCGAAATAAGACAAGATTCAAAACGAAGTGATGGAAACAAACACACAAAATCAATTCACAGTGTGGCATGCTGAAGGTGGCCTGACACACCTGGGCTGTCCGGGTGATTTTTCATTTAGGGTCATTTCATAATTTTCTTTTCTTTGATGTAAAATTATAAATAGTGGGGCTTTCTTCAGCAGGTTTATATCAGATGTTTGAGAACCTTGGAGGCTACTCAGTGGAGAATTAGAGGTTTTTACAGTGTCTTTTCTTCTCTCTCTTTGTTTCTTCTTGATTTTGTTGTTTTGTTCTTTTGATAAAATTGCGCCGTCTCTATGCTAAGAGTGGCTAAACACCTTGTTCTAGGTTATGGGGATATTGACATGAACATAGTGGTTTGAATCTTAATTTCAAAAAAACTGCTTTTGCTTTCATGGGTTATTCATTCAACCTCGTGCTTTATCGTTTGATGGGATGATTGCAAATTGAATTCTACTTACGGATCCTAAAAACTTGAAAAAGAGATACGGTTGCTGCATTGAATATTGTAAGTCCATGAACCTATGCAGTAGGGGCTTGATTCATGGGTAAAAAAATTATACTTGCTTACCTTACATAACTTATGAATGCAGGGATCTATAACGTGTTTCTCATAGAAATATAGCGACTATGTTAATTTGAGTAGACGAATAAGAATTCAGAAGATTATTCTGAGCAAAGATGCGGTAGGTTAATAGCACTTGCTAATCAATTTATTTTGAGATAGAATAATAACGGGATTGTCAAGGGAACCCATAGCTCTAGGCTTTTTTACTATCAAATTCCTAAGATGTTTGAGCACTTCAGTTTTTTATTTTCTTAAATTTCTGAAGGGGAGCCTTGGCGTAACTGATAAAGTTGTTGTCATGTGACCAGAAGGTCACGGGTTCGAGCCGTGGAAACTCTTGCAAAAATGCAGGTTAATGCTGCGTACGATAGACTCTTGTGGTCCAGCCCTTCCCCAGACCCCACGCATAGCGGGAGCTTAGTGCACCGGGCTGTCCTTTTTTTCTTAAATTTAGTTTAATCATCATTTCTTCAAATCAAACTAGTTTTTTCTTGATAATTAGGTTTAACCTGATCGTCGGCTAATTAAATAAAATCCTCGTGGGAACTATGATTATACTCATCATATGATACTTGTCTAATCGTGTACACTAGTGGTATGTTGGTAGCTCATATTAATCACCCCTATCTTGAAGGAGTCAAGGTATAAGCTAGCTGGATCAAAAGAAAACTACTAATGCGATACATGAGCATCAACATTTATCAGATTATAAAGTCTTCATTGATTCTAAAATTTGGCAATCAATTAAACCACTCTCTTGTACTGAACACAACCAATGGGAAGAAGAACAACTTTGCTCAACTAAGTCGTGGCTGAAAAAGTTAAACATGCTAGTAGAGCATGAGAACAACCTCAACAGGAAACAAGACCTATCCTAAACTCAATTAAAAGCAGACGCTTTTTTAGTTGCTAACAAAAGGTAGAAAAAGTTGTTACCTTGAAATTAGATCCCAAAAAATATATTAAAGGTCAACTAACAAATTGGAATTTAGAGAAAGTAACTTATCCGCTAATTGACAAGTCTCTTTTCCATTCCCAGATAACCGACATGGAGAAAGGGTTAAAATATTTCAACTTAGCAAAGTAAAATCTCAAAGTTTATGGATAATCAAATTGCAGCATTATAAAACTCGAGTTTTAGCTTTCTCCAATGTGAGGGAGAATGATGAGGAATGAAAGTGGATGAGAAAGAGAACTTCCTAAATTATTTCTGGACCAAAATCGGAATCATGTTTTGGTGGGTTCACATTCAGGTATTGGAATTATTTTACTTATTCAAGATGCAATTTAAGTCCAGTGTATACCAAGCATACAAAGTCCAGGATATATGGGAAAATAAAGCCCCATACATGTTAAGGGTTTTCTAGGATAGTAGAAAATGAGGCATGTTTAACCTGAAGCAATATCCAGAAAAGGGGCCTACAACATGTGTGACAGATGCAGCCTATGTGGGGAGCCATTAAGAAACAGAAATCACCTCTTCCTTTATTGCAGAATCACTAGCCGGATCTCCCATTTCAAAAAAAGAATCACTAGCCAGATCGGGGATTTGTTACTCAACACACTGGGAAACATATGGGCCATGTTCGGGGCTACTCTACAACTTCTACAAGGGTGGTGCAGAAATGATTCGCATAGGGCTTCTTCTGACATCGAGTGTACAATTCCTGCTGTATAGTTTGGTGGTTATTTGAAGGAAGAATACTAGAACTTTTTAAAGCAAGAAAGGCAAAGTAATTAATCTTATGACCAGGTGCTTCTTTTCTTTTTTCTTTCTTTTTCTCTTTTTGCTTAGGTGTTGGTGCAACATGGCCTGCTCTAAATGTAAATGATATTCATGAAATTGCTGATTTTCTTAGCACATTAGAAACTTGTAATGTTACCACATTTTGGTTGTAACTGATTGCCAGCATTTCCTTTTTGCTGGTTTTCATCATAAAAGTTACACTTTACCTCTCCAAAAGAAGTCCAGGATATTTGGAGTTTAGTATCTCGTATTGAGCTCAAGAATCAGTATATCTTAAACTTTGTTATTTAGTTCATTAGTTGTTTTTTCTATCTTGTGTTTTTTCCCGACAATGGTGGTCTCGGGGCTAACTTGCAAACATCGAGGCTAATCCATCGGGTACCCACTACCTCCCATCATCACAGGAACTAGGAACACTCTGCCCACCAATACTTAGACGGATGGAGAGAAACCGCCTATCATTTTTGCCTCTACCGGGATTTGAAACCTATTCTCCCATAATCCATTCCAACTTTATTGTCCACTAGGCCACATCTTGGGAGCCTGTAGTAATCGGAATAGGATAAGAGTTGTTCCAATCGTCTGTATGTTTTTTTCTCAATTAACTGGTGGAAAATCAATAACTTCAGCACTACTTTTGACGAGACATCACATAATCTTACCTAGGTGGCTTATTCCTAAGGAATTCTAGGTAGCTTCCTAGACCTTGCCTTCTTTCTTTTTCTTTTGTTATAGTCGCTAATTCCTAGACCTTCCCCTGTTTCTTGCCTCTTCTTGGTTTTTTGTTTTGTTTTGTTTGNTCCATCAAGCAATTCCTCAACTGATAACAAAAAAACCAGCCACTAACACCATAACTTTTACTGCTCTCGGATACTATTCACAACCTCAGAACCCCATGAATTCTCTCTTTTATTTTTCTTCCCTTAACCTACTCAGCACCCTTACACAAAATTACTTCAAAGCCTCCCAGTTTTGAGAGCCTTTTAGCAATGAAACATAAGAAAGTCCGAAAACATTACTATTCTTTCACTGCTCAATTGTCTAGTGATCTCCTCCCTTGTCCCAAATCACCCACGAGGCGAGATGAAATCTTAAACTTGTGACAGTTTAGTGTTTACAATCTGAGAGTCTCTTTTGCTTTTACTACACAGATATTAACTCAAAACTCTTCTTTTTTCTTTTTTTGTAAGGAAAACTTAAAAGAGTCCACACATTGATGACAATCACTTTATGAAGAACAACTAGCCAAATCCTAAAAGTTTTGCTTCTTGCTTTGTGTGCAATAAATTTACCACTAGAGAAAGTTAAAATGCAAGAGGCTCACCTTTGAATTGGAAAATTGTACAATTCTACGAGACGTAGGAAGAAAATGAGATACGCGTGTTTCGCTCCTAGCACCACCATCTTCAGATTTTTGGCTGTGACCATGGCTAAATTGTCTCTGCAAGGATGCATGACTGGGGGAGTCACCAGTGGACCTTTCTCTCACACAAAGAAGCATTCGACCTGCATGGCATATTTATGAAACATACACAAACAATAAGTAGCACCTATAAGCTCTTGCAATTCAATAATTGAATTTTTAGCTTTTGAATATTAACAAATGCCAAAACATCTGTACATCAGCACACTAGCTAGTAGAAATAGCAAATGATAGGATGCTGCCCAGCAGCCCAAGAAACAATAAAGTAGCCATTCCACCACACACAAATGCCCAACTATGTTTTGAAAGAGGAGGTTTTCACTGAAAATGAATCAAGAGAACATACATACCGACTATATCAGTGCTTGAAACTCCTTCTGTACGCTTGATCTGCTTATAGCGACCAACCTTCTTAGCAAGGGCATAAGCATCAGTGCCATCGGGAAGAAGACAAGGGTCATCCCCATGAATGATATAGTCTATGTTATACTCATCAAATAGTTTCCTCATAAAATCTTCAGTAATAGCATAGGGGGCATCAGAGATGACTTCATCCACCCACTTAACAGCACCGACCATAATCATCCTAGGAAAAATCAACAAGCACGAAACTGAGTAAATTCTTTTAATTAAAATCTATCCAAGTAACAGATAAAACAATAATAATAATCACAGCCAAGCACAGTGAAATGAGATCTAATGGTCATGATTTTATTTGTTAAATGCCTTTGATTCTCTCAAGGACAATGGTATCAGACAAAAAGCAATATGAAGGAATGAAGCCATCAGTTGATTAGGAAACTTCTGGTGGAAATGGTGTTCAGAGCTGAGATAACTGTTCTTTTAAAAGGTAACTAACCAACTGTTTGCCACAATAATCAAATCACGATATCCTGAAAGCCAAACTCAGGGTCGCCTCTAATGTTGTATTTAATAAGGCTTGTGCCTTAGGCCCCTAAGTTTGGGAGGCCCATTTTTTAGAAATAATAGGTTTATAGGTATTTAAAAAATAATATTTAGTACTTTTAGTACAAAAGTAGACGTCCTGATATAAAAGGAAAGACATTTTTTAGCTATGTAAATAAAGTAACTATTTGGCTTACTTAAAAATGGCTAGTATGAACAGTTAACGTGTGAACTGGAATTGATTTGACAAGAAAATAGTACAAGAAGAAGATATTACTCTAATCGATATACCCAATCAAATAAAAAGACTTTTCTTTTCCAAATGCTTATGTTGCTTATAGAATAATATTACCAGTTCCTATAATAGTTGCCTCAATGAAAGAAGTTTTTCAAAATTAAAATTGATAAAATCTTAGCTAAGATCGATAATGTCTCAAGTGAAGAATTATTTGAAAAAATTAAATGGGCTGGCTATATTAGTTGAAAAGGAATTATTTGAAAAAATTAATTATAAAAATATTATAAACAACTTTGCATCTTAAAAATCTAAAGAATAGACTTCAAATAAAAATATATATTATAACATTTTTTGTTAAAAATTAGGCCTCACATTAAACTTTGGCTTTAGGCCACAAATGTGTTTGAGCCGCCCTTGGCCAAACTTCACCTTGATCTGAGGTCTCTTCTTAGGTAGTTGAACACTGTATAGAGCCTTGTTTCTGTAACCCAGAAAACCCATCCTCGCCCAAAAAACACTCTATAGAGCCTTGTTTCTGTAACCCAAAAAACCTGTGGGTTGCTCTGATGGTAAGCACCCTCCACTTCCAACCAAGAGGTTGTGAGTTCGAGTCACCCCAAGAGCAAGGTGGGGAGTTCTTGGAGGGAAGGATGCCGAGGGTCTATTGGAAACAGCCTCTCTACCCCAGGGTAGGGGTAAGGTCTGCGTACACACTACCCTCCCCAGACCCCACTAGTGGGATTATACTGGGTTGTTGTTATTTATTATATTCACCAGTTTCTCACTGTAGGACATGTCTATACAGTGACCAAATATAGAGAAGATTTCCCAGGAAAAATACCACTTTGCTTTAAGGTTTTGGAAGAAAGATTCGCATCCTAGTAGAGCTTTAAGAATTAGCTCACCAATCAATCAAAGAGAAAAAATAGAGAGTAACACTCAAGCATAGCAACCAAACTGTAATGACTGGGATTGGAAATGGGAAAGAACTAAAAAAATGAAGTGGTGCGACGTCCTTCGTACAGTAATTAGAGGGATAATTACCAGTAATTTGACTTCGCAGGAGGTTAGTTAAAAAGTAGAGACAATTGAGATTGATTACAATGGACGGTTAAGATGCAAACTGATGGAGGTATAAATACTTCTGAATTCGGTGTGGGATGCATGGAACATAGCTGGTATGTTTCTGTAATCGTGCTCTCCCATACTCTCTCTCTCTTCTCTTTCCCCAATTTCTCAATCTGATCTCTCTTCTTCTCTTCTTCCTAATACGTTCTAATTCTTCCCTTCTCACTCAATTCTCCTTCTTATCATGAAACTGGTTACGTGATTAGCTCCAATTTGACTATCCTTCAGGTATGGGTTACTCGAGGTGTGGATTTCAGCTGAAGAACTGAGTTGATTCGAAGAAGTCTTGTTTAAGCTTTGTTATTGCATTTCTATCCTAGTTCTGTTGTTATCAGTACCCAGTTGTGGACAATATTCAGTGGATTGTTGAAGTATTCGAGTTGTAATTTCTTGTTTCATTTGAAGAGTTAATAGTGAACTTGCCTAGCATTCCTTGAGATCATTAAGAAAACTAAAGCATACTACCTCTGCAAATGGCTTCTGTCAGTTCAAAGATACAGAATTCGCATAAAATGAAGTGCTCATTGGGTATAATAAATTCGTCAAAAATCATTTGTCAAAAAATCTGATAAAGCAGCTGATCTAAATAAGACGCATAACACGGATGAAATGAACACTGAACACGCATAATATATTTTTGAATGACAGGCGAAATATGTGAATCCGAAAATGTAAGAGGAAGAGCGCAAAAAACACCAAACCTCTCGTGAAGAGGAGTGACAGGAGGGCCTTTGTTGGCAATGATTTCAGCATCGCTAACTACACCGACGACTAATTGGTCGCCGAGAGCCCTAGCTTGTCGGAGAGCATTGCAATGGCCGTAATGCATCATATCAAAGCATCCATCCATATATACCCGTATAGGTCTCTTCTTCTTCTTCTTCGGCAAAGCAAATCTCAAACCCAATACCGATAACCCTAACACCACCCCTCCCACCAGCCACGTTGCAACGAACCGCGAACTCTGTTGCACGTTCTCCGAATGTCCCGCTTCTGAACCCATTGTTTCACTACTCCTAATTTATAGTCCCTAATCCAGCAAAAAACCTGCTAACATACCTAATTCCTAATACTGATAAGGCTAATGAATAAGTTAGTTTTTTCTCATATGAATATGCTATTCTCAGATGCCTGTTTCCAGATTTTATCTGTGTTCCGTTCTAGACGATAGCGCAAAAGTTCAAAAATATCCTCACTTTTTTCCGTTTATATGTCTCCGCCTCCATCTCCTTTAAATGGTTCCCACTCAAAACAGTGTCTTACAACTTGACCGGACACTTGTACAGCGGTCACACAAACGTAGCGTAACAGCTACTGCACCCATCGTCGGTTAATTGCATGACCAACCTTATAATTTATTGAATTGCGGTCCGGTAATAGCTCCGTATGGTGATTCTCATATTAGGAGCGCGTCCGGATGTGTATTTTGAAGTCTGTAGGTCGTTTTGAGATCATTTGACGAACGTTAGAAATTTGAAGGTTTTGGAGAGTTTGATCGGGAGTTAACTTTTTGATATCGGGTTGGATTCCGATTTCGGTAGTTGGAGTAGGTCCGTAATATCAATTATGACTTGTGTGTAAAATTTGAGGTCAATCGGACGTGATTTGATAGGTTTCGGCATTGTAGAAGTTTGAAGTTCTAAGGTTCATTAAGCTTGGAATAGGGTGCGATTCATGAATTCGACGTTGTTTGATGTGATTTGAGACCTCGAACAAGTTCGTGTTATATTTTTAAACTTGTGTGAGTGTTGGGTTTGGAGTTTCGGAGGCTCGGGTGAGTTTCGGAGTGGCTTCAAAGTGTTTTGTTAAGAAGTTGGATTGTTGATTCTGGTATGATCGCAACTGCGATGTTTTGGTCGCAAATGCGACCATCGCATTTGCGAACCTGGGCTGCTGAGGGAATGGATCGCATTTGCGACAATATGGTCGCTTTTGTGAAACCTGAATGCGAACTCTGTATCGCATTTGCGATGAAGGCCAGCTTTCTTCGCATTTGCGAACCCCCTGTCGCAAATGTGACATGTGCGACTGGAGCCAAGGGCTTTTTATTCCGAGACTTAGCCCATTTCCCTCATTTCCCACTTGGACTTAGACGATTTTTAGAGCATTTTGAGAGGGGGGTCCATCATCACCAAGAGGTAAGTGATCTCTTCTGGTTGTGAGTTAAATACAAGGTTTATATATGGATTTGGACATGAAAATTTGATAGAAATTTGGGATTTGGAAGAAAATCTAGAAATTGGTATTTTTGGATTTTGACCACGAATTTGGGCATGGAATTAGAAATAAATTATATATTTGAGTTCGTGGGGTTATGAATAAAGTTTGTCTTCGAAAATTTTCGGAATCCGGGCACGTGGGCCCGAGAGTGATTTTTATCGAGTTTTCGAACGGAGTTGGAAATTGTTGTGAATAGGATTATAATGAGTATTAGAGTATATATTTATGGAATTGCTCATTTATTGACTAGTTTTGGAGCGTTGGGCATCGATTTGAGTTGTTTGAAAGGCTTGGGAGCCAGCTATGGAACTTCAGAGTGAGGTAAGTGTCTTTTGTAACCTTGTAAAAGGGAATTAACCACATAAGTGAAATAAATCATTATGTGCTTCTATTTGTGNTACTTATATCCGAGTAGTCTAGGGCCTATATCTTATTGTACTTGCGATGTTGCGCCCTACTTGTTAATTTAGTTGTTTAAAACACTTAAAAACTCGATAAAGGAATTGTAAAAAGGTTAAACTTTATTTACTTGACCGTTAAATGGAAATTTAAAATTCTCGGAATATTTGCCCCTTAATAAATCTTGAATTGGTTGTTGAATGTGTTTATCTTTTTGCGGAGCGGGTCGAACGCCTCGGCAGATTAAATAGATGCATCTATGGTTCGCGTTGTTCGACCCTCGGCATTGCACAGTTTAAGTATTTATGTTGGATCGGGTCGTACGACCTCGACATGATTTGCTCGTGATTGAATTGTTTGCTTTGGAATTTATGATAATTGATATTGCTTCATTGGCCTGAGATACAAAATGACAAATGATGAAAAATAAATTTTGAAATTCCTTATTAACAAAAGAATTGTTTACTTATTTCATGATATTGAGCTTACAGCCATTCTACGTAATCCATGCTAAATTATATCAATAGTATTTTTTTATGGCCCACAGTAAGTGTCGGAGCCGACCCCTCGTCACTACTTCTTCGAGGTTAGGCGGGATACTTACTGGGTACGCGTTAATTTATGTACTCATACTACACTTGCTGCACATTTTTGTGCAGATACATATATGCCTAGTGGCCTTGTGGGCGCAGAGGCGCGGTTAAAGCGGGGATTTAGGTGAGCTGCACTTTATACTACGATCCGCGGCCAGTAGAGTCTAATTCAGAGTATTTATATTTTTCCTGTCCAATTTGTATTCCTGACAGATGTTGTATTTTATTTTACATTCCTAGTTGATACTCATGCACTTGTGTCATCGGGTTTTGGGGTGATTAGGGGTTGTCGTATATTGAAATTGTTAAAAATATTATTATCTACACTGTAAATTCCATCTTTTACTATCTAATTGAAGGAAATATGATTTCAAAAATATTAAAATGAGAACCAAATTAAGTATTTATTTTTGGCTTGCCTGACAGCGGTGTTCGGCGCCATCACGACCTTTAATAGATTTTAGGTCGTGACACAGATACTCCCCCATAACTAGAAGATGCATTAACCATCCTTGTGTGTTTATATGTGAAGAAGATACAAGCACGGAGGACTCGTGAGTAGCAGAGGTCACCAGAATCGGTGAAAATAGGGATACGAGAGTAAAGGTAACGAGAGCAGAAACTCTGAATGAAAAAGGAAGAAAGAGATATAGGGATTCAATATTTGAGAATGCAAAGAATAAGGTAAAAGGTCTCCTATCCCTATTTATAAGAATCTAGGCATCAATATCGAGAAAGCAAATCATCGATGCCCAGCGCAACTTTCGAAACGGCAGAGGAGCGGAAAACGATGCAATACATCGGAAAAATGCGTAATAATGACGTATGATGTCATGACGTCACTCGGAATCGGCGTGGAGATAGGTTACTGCTCACAGAGTGCCACGTCGCCATCTCGTCAAGAACGTTACTACTTGACATGCTCACCTAAATCTCTCAACCGTGACTAGCAGAGTCCGCTCATCGATGTCGTTTGAGAATCAGACTCAAAAAGCGAAGGGACTAACTGTATAAGCCAAAATCTGCCTCAAGGAGATTTGACATGAAGTGGTATTACGAAAAGTAAATTGGCCGAGGTCGATTAGTAATCGGTAGGGCTCAAAACCGAGCAGTCAATAACGGCCAAGGTCAAGTATCAGGGGCAGTAGTAACGGCTAGTTTTGCAATAGGATCTTTAGGAGAATATCCCATTGAATATTCTCTGTACTTGTACATTTAGGGTTAACTGGGGGTATGTCCCGTACAAATAGAAAGGGAGATAAGGTGAAAGACATGCAATATTCTCTGATAAGAACACTCTTTGAAAAGAAGACTTTATCTCTAGATAAAAGACAAACACTGTCTTTCTAAATAGATTCGATTGTCTATTATTCCACATTTTTCATCAGATCCGAGAATAGTTCCAATATTCTAGTATTTGTCTATCACTCATCATTTTTAAATGGAGGAATCATCCACCTTAATCAATATTTGGGTGAATCATTCTCCTTATTTACTTTAATGTCATTTATTGTTATTTACTGCTCGACATTCTCCTATCATTAATTATCTTGAAACATTGAATGTACACCTCATTCAATCCCCTACCAACATTGTTCTATGTTATTTGTGTTAATCGATTATAGATGTGAGATTATTATCACTAGCTAGGTTTAATCCCTCACTACATATAATTAATTAGTTTAATCAAGGGTTTATACTTTTTGGTCAGACACTATCATCCTTATATAATTCACGTTTTCTTCATGTCAATCAGTTCAAGATGCACCAACTAGAGCATGTTTAAATTTTTCAAAATAAGCTCGAACAAAATTTATCATCTAATAAGTTGGTATATCTCATATAGATAATATATAATTAATTGTTGGTTATCGTTTATGCTATAAGTTGTTTAATGCCACTTCTAGATCATCTTTGTTGCTATTTTGATGTTGCACTCTCCTGATTGTTATTTTAAAATTTTGGGATAGTATTGACCCTTAGAGGCGGATCCAGGATTTGGAGGTACAAGGTACCACACTGATTTAAACGTAAAAATATTTTAATTCATACAATCCAAATAGGGTATCCATTGCGCTTATTTGATATATTTTGGTGTTTTGGTTCAAGTTATTCGTCTTGAAAGCAATAGATATTCTTTTTCTTGAGTCGGCTTTAAATGATTCTAAATTAGCATCATCTTTAAGTTGGAAAAGAATGACATTCAGTATGAATTTTTTGGGTCAAATTTGTTTCCATCTCAACTCACAAGAACTAAGAATCTATATATATTATTAAAAGCCAAAGAAAAAGGCACCACATTGATCTAAGTGGTAGCCTAGCAAAAAAGTCAAATGACATAATTAGTTAATAATTAATTATTAGAAATTAACAAAGAAATTAACTACCTAAAATTAACTACTCAAACATGGGTGAGGGTTGGATTAGGTTAGTTAATTTCTCTGTTTCATTTTTTAAATTATTTTCGTTTTTCTTTTTTTTGAAATAAGAAGTGTATTTATTCATTAAAATTCAGATAATATTATTGAGAATAATATAATAATTTTTAAAAAAAATATTTTCGATAGTAATAAAATATATATCTTCTATTCTATTACAAAAAAAGTAGCAGTCAAAAATATTAAATAAGTAATATGCTAATAATTTCTATTAACAATGTAATTATACTAAATATTGAATAATATAATAAATAAAAATACAAAACAAAAAATTTATTCAATGACTATATAAGTCCCTTTAATTTAATAGAGATTTTATTCATTAAAATTCAGACAATATTTATTCTATCTATATAGAATAGGAGAATCAAATCATTGTGATGATTCCAAGTGTAACATCAAATAATTAACAAGTGTCAAATTTTAGACAAAGCTCCAACAAATTTGGAGATTCAAAAATTATTTATACAAAAATGATTAAAAAACACACAAAGAAATTAACTGCCTAAAATTAACTACTCAAACATGGGTGAGGGTTGTTTTAGGTTAGTTAATTTCTTCGTTTCTTTTTTTTAAAATTATTTTTGTTTTTAAATAAAAAGTGTATTTATTCATTAAAATTTAGACAATATTATAGGGAATTATAGAATAAAATATAAAATAAAAA